AACATTTATTTCTTTCCATTTAAAAATGTACAAAAAATATAAACCTGCATTATTTATAAGTTTATAGATTCCCCTTTCCCATTTACAAAACTATTGTTAGGTAAGACGCAATATTTATACACAAAGCTTGCTTTCCAGAAATGAGGGCACTCACAGAGTTTTTGGCATAAGTACTCTTTTCATTTTTGCACCATGTCAGTATCTTGCGGGAGGAATTGAAATGAGAAGAAGGAAACCATCAAGGTTAGAACAACTAACAAACATTATCTACTTTAAAAATTTCAGCAGCCCTTCTCCCCATACAGTTTTTGCAGTGTGATGGATGGCAGGCTGAATCCATAATTTTTCAATCATTGTGTCACGGCAAGAGGAATTTTGCTAATTTGCATCTTTCCAACAGGTACATCAAATTAGAATAAAAAATAATAAACAGGAAGAAAATTTCAAATCATAAATCCAATGCTTCTATGTGTGTATCAGCCATTTTTATTTGGCAATAAAAATAAATGCTTCTATGTGTGTATCAGCCATTTTTATTTGGCAATGAGATCAATAGAAAGCTAAATTAAGCTTCTATATATATTCCTGTTTCCTCATGTAAAAGTAAAAGATAAGTTTAAAATGGATAGACTTAACTATGCTCATGATTAAATTTGCTATGATACGAAGTCATTACATGCCTTTTCTCCCCTCGCAATTAGACACGTCAAAGGCTGACATTAACTGTGTAGCATCACCTTCTAATGGGATAATGAGAGCTTTTGATATTTAAGGGACATATCACTCCTGTATAATCTGCAATTCTTTTCAATTCCATAATATGTTATACAGCTTTAAGTTCAACTTCCTGAAAATTTCATTAAAAACAAACAAACCCCAAGCTTCTAGTCCATATAGACTGTAGCTGTACAGATTTACTAAAATATTCTCAATACATAAAGGTAAAATCTGTAAATGCTACATATTGTCCCTGAATTAACTCCTTGGCTAATGGATGCACCATCAAGCTCACAAAGAAATCTTTATTTCAGAAGATAATAATCATTTTTCATTTTCAGCATTATAACCTAATCTGCTGAGATACTTGTGAACATTTGCTCCTTGACCTAGTAGATCAGGAGTCCCCAACTCCCAGTCCATGGACCAACACTGGTCCATGGCATGTGTTCTGACCAAGGCTTCCGAGACCGTAATTACTCACATGCTTATTTTAATAACAAGTTTTGTTTTATTGCAACGCTGGGAATTATTTTCATTCCCAGCCGATAATGAATCTCAAACAGTCCCTTGAGATAAGCACCCACCTTTCTTTCCTGTGAAGTTCTGCCAATAACAGAAGTGTCAAGTGAACTAGAATAAATACCCCAACCTAAGTACAAAGAGCTTCAAGAATGAATCTGAACCGAACGAATGACAATGCTTCCTGCAAAGGTTTTGTCATCTTTGCCTGTCCTTTATACCTTATGGGAGGGGCAATCACCTCCCAGCCTTACTCCCAAGTTGCCCCTTTTGTTTCAGCTGCTCTCTCCTTCTAGCAGCTCTGCACACACATACACTGGAGACAGGCTCCCCTGGATCCTCTGCCTCGCTGCTACCAGAATCCGAAGGCTCCGGAGGCAGCACCCCACTCCCAGATTGTCTTGGCCCTATCTCTGCATTGGATGCAGGACCCTCGTCCGGGTCCTCTCCAGACTTCCGGACTGGTCCCTGTTCTTCCCCACTGTCCGATTCTGCTGCCGTCTGTGCAGGCTGTTGGCGAACCACAACAGCATGCCAGAAACTGGTCCGCACAAACAAGCAAAGCCCCATCCGCGGGATTCAGGCATCACACAAAAACACGCCCTCTCAGGACTGCAGAAAACCCCCTTTCCAGGAACCGGTCCCTGGTGCCCAAAATGTTGGGGGCAGCTGTAATAAATGATCTGGTTCCCGCAACCTGCTAAGATGTTGAATAAACCATCATTAGTTGGCTTTGTCCGATCCAATAAACCATAAAGTATGCAGTTGAGAGGCACATTGGATCTTTCTGTGGTGTTTTCAAAGCTGCATTCCAAAAAAAGCAGCACATTGGACTGGGAGAGGGGAATAAATTTCATTTCATTTGCTTAAATATTAAAATTTGGTACCAGTTTCTGCGATACCAGGAACTGTATCCAACTACCAGATGAACCTAGCTTTCTGAATGGACTTCACCCTAAATATGGCTTACACCAAAATGGTTGAATCTCCACAAGCTGTTTAGACAAGGCCAACCCCTTTATGACTTCTGATTGATGTTGTGCCTGTAGATACCGACACTTATACAGACATCAAAACACCAAATTCTCATCAACAGCCAAGCTGGCTAGGAATATCTAAAAATTAGCATCAATGATCCAGGGCACAAAACTAGCTTAGAACGAACCAATTTAACATATGTGGTTTCTCCATCTTGCACAACAAAACACACGATGTTTTCCAGCTCCATTTAGAAGAACATCAGTAATAAATAGATTCATTTGACATCTCTTTTATTTCAATGAAACACCTACTTGCCAGCAGGGTCAGGTGTGGGAGCTGAACAAAATCTGAAAGAAACTCTCTAAATCAGGCATTCTCTCTTGAAGGCACTCTGGCTGATTTCTGGGTAAGAAAACTGCCTATGAATAAGAAGACCTAAAGTATGCCTGTCATTGTACTCCTTATTTAAATTACAGTAATTATTTCTAAATTTGTATCTACTGTATGTATAAATTATCACATGCAAATTTCCTTCTACTTTGGCTGATATATGTCGGCTTGTTTTATCCAACATATCAAGCGGAAGTGAATTGCAGTGCTGGAGGGATACAGAAGTTTCTGCAGTCTCAACCTTTGATGATCAAAAACAAAGCAAAGCAACATTTGAACCTCACCACTATATGTCATTTTAAAAGCAAGTTTGCTATAAAAAAGCTGTAAAATTTTAATCCATCAGCCGTCAAAAGTTTTACACATCTAGGGGATATCCAATTTTATGCAAGTATACAAGTGGAAAACAAGGGTGCTTTCTTTCAAAAGGAAAGAAAAATCATTGACTGAATTTGGAAATTCTGACAAGATTCTGACAAAACCAATAAATTTACGGTTACAGAAGCTGTTAATTATATCTCAGGTCTGACATTTCTTCTGTGACATTTTAAAACTCAAAAAGACAAAAACGAGTCAATGAAATTTTAAACCTCAAAGATGTAAGATGCTTCAAGAAAAATAAATGCCTGCAGGATCAAGTGCTTTTTAAAATTGGTATCAAGCTGATTTATATAAAAGGAACCTTTAAAAGCCTATTCTCTGATTAGCAACCCAACCATTACCAACAGCATGCTACAGAGAAGTTCTTAAATCTGTTCAACAGTGCAGAGGGCAGAAGGAATGTATGGGTGGGTTGAATGGCCCAGAAGGTAAAATTTAAGGTCACATTCCATGGCCTGGAAAATAAAGGAGTGATTTAAGCAAAGGACACATCATAAAAGCCAGTTTAGTATAGTGCTCAAGGCACAATACATCAAATGCTAGAAGTCCTTAACCCTAGGAAGGAGGCAATGGCAGTCCACTTCCAAAATTCTGGTTAAGAAAATTGCTAGGACTAGCCCAGGCAGTTGCCAGGAGACCAACCAAGAGTTCTTTTCATATATACCAGGGATCATTGCTTTGAAAGGTTCAGAAACCTGGGAGCTATTGCCTAAAAGGGGGTGTCAAATTCAAGGCCCGGGGGCTGGATCTGGTCGGTTGGGGCCACACTGGAAACAGCGAAGGACCGGTCTGCAGTGCCTCTGCCAGGGAAAATGGAGCCGTGCATGGCCCTCCCAGGCCCTGTTTTTGACCGTAATAGCATCCTACACCCTCTGCCAGTGAAAACAGCTTCGTTTTTCACTGACAGAGGGCTTTAGGAGGCCATTAAGGCCAAAAACGGGGCCCAGGGGGCATGTATGGCCCACCTGAGCTCTGTTTTCACTGGCAGGAGGCTGCAAGAGAACCTCGTGGCGAAAAACGATCAGGAGCCCATTTTCACTGGTAGGGCACTCAGGTCACCACAGGCGTCCCTGACACAAGTGATGTCAAGCTGGCCATGCCCACCCCAGCCCCCGAGGTCAAACACAGCCCTGATGGCACCCCTCATTGAAATCGAGTTTGACACCACTGGCCTAAAAAATCTGAAGGCTTAAAACTACATTGGAGAAGGCTTATCTGAGAAACGGTTCTAACCTGAAGTTTCTGCTGATGAAGACAATGGTATTTTTTTTATGCATTACCTCTATTCTGCTACTGTCCTTACCCTTCAGCCCCCGTCCACGGAAGTGTCATTAAAAACAACAAAGTAATATAAAAACCAGACTAGATAGTGAATAATAATAACAAAAAAAGGGCAGGCAGTACATGTACACAGATTCAAATAAAGAACAGCATTCCTCTGTACAATTTTTATATTTACATTCTAGTGTGATTTATCGGAAACAATAATTTTACAAAACAATAAAAAATGTGAATCTCTGGAGATATATTGAGAAAAACTGAGTGAGTTGGAAGGGAAATAAATGACAGTGAGCGTGATGGGATCTGACTTGCGGTCTTTCCAAAATTATTTTGCCATCTATGCAGAATATGATATGTAGTTTTTTTGGTTTAGGTCCATTAAGGGAAAAAAACCCCACCTTCATGCATTTTGTAAAATAAATATGCAGTTCACAAACTGCATTTTAGTGTGAACTACAGTGCCAAAAACTATACCAAGACTCGTGTATAAAAGAGAACAGCAAATACATCGATTTCATTTTTTTCTTGGTCACTAATTCTTATGAAACTGTAATTTTTTTCAGATCCTAATTTTTTCAAATATATATGGTTTGGTTTGTTGCACTTTTGAGGGGTGGGGGGAACTACTGATACATATTTTGGGACAGATCTCTATGTCCATGCTCTTTTGTTTGCAATTTTATCTATTATGCAGGACTTTTATGTGTGTGTGTGTGTAAATAAAAACATATAAAAACATGGCATTGCATATGGTCGTAAATGCAGGTTTGGTTGCCAAGCAGCCCAAAATGCAATCACATGGCTCTCTCTCTCTCTCTCTCTCTGTGTGGCAGAACTCCAAAACCATGGCTTCTAATGAAGTTGATCAAAACTTTGAATGAGTCACTAAACAACTGGTCATTAAGCAAGGGCCACCTGTATTTACATCCTCCAACGTATGGCATGTTCAGGGGATCGGACTTCTGTACAAAATTCCAAACTTTCCTTCCAATTTTATACTGTTGTTTTATAAGCATATAATTTCCCTAAAATGAAAGCAAACCATAAAATATCTTGCTAAACTCACGCTGATTCCACGTTGCCAGGAACTTTCAGAGGTAACTTGAATGGAAGAATAACATTTGTTTGAAAAATAAATGTATTCTAAAACATTTGGGTAAAACTTGGAAGCACCCATTGGTGGGAATGATATAGAAATGTCACATTTATGACACCCTGCATGATGCATTGCAGAAATGAACGTCCATTCAGTAAGAATGCATACCATAGAAGATAAAAAAAAAAACAAGGTGAGAGAGGGAGAGAGAGAGAGAAAGAGATAGAAAAACTATTTCAGGAACTGGAAGACTGCAGCATCATGGAATAAGTGATTCTCCCAAGCTGGTGTACACCAAACAGCCTTCAATTCCACACTGTATGGTTAAATGTCTGACTTAACAGGAGTTCTAGTCTAAAAATAATAGAAATCATCTCATTGGAAGACCTGAGAAGCTGGTATAGTAAAGAAAGAATAACCTTAGTTGTGACAATAAGGAGTTTTAACTTTATAATGTGGCTCCTGGTTAAGCTTTGAACAAAAGGCATAAAAAACCCTGAAGAACCAACAGCTGGTGAGAGAACTTTGCCCTTTGGCCAGGAATTCTGCCAACTTCTTGTCCAAACACAGAATAGAGTGGCAGTAAACACATCCACACGGATAGGAAAATATATTATTACATATTATAAACAAATATATACAGAGGTTAAAATGGATGGTGTTTTACTTACAAAAGTACACGCCACCTGAGAATCTTAAAAGCCCTCAGTTGCCCTGCAAAGGGAGGGATATGGCTAAGCTACATGATACTCGGCACTAGACGTTTGGTATACAGACCACTGGGCACTTTGCACATTGTTAACGCTTATCAGGTTTCCTAGCAATTCATTTAGAGGGTGAAAATTTCAGTGATTAAGTCCCAGTGGAACTAACATTATTCTTCAACTTATTATTTTCTTGTATTAACTATTTTTGTTGCTTTTATTTAAAGTCTCTGTTTCACCTTCGCCACATCAAGATTGTGAAGTCTAGGGTCCACTGATTATTTACACATTATGGAGCGAGGAGCAATAAATAAGGAACTTTATGAAGGAATGTTCTTTTGAACAGACTCATCACTTATTGCCAAATTGGTTCCAGTGGCAAAAAAATAAAATGTGGTTGTTTCCAACTTAGTTTTGTAACAACCTTTTCTTCTCCATATCAATGAAATCAAGGTTTTTATTATTATTTCTTCTTTCCTTGATGGTAAAATGTTTCACTTCACAAGGTCTAGGCTGGTCTAGATTTCTGTCAACGTGACCTTGAAACCCTCCATTATGTTCTCCATGTTTAGGATGAAAGTGTCTTCATTGGAATAATGTTCAATGATGTTATCATCCATATTTACCAGAATCCTGAAACACGAAAGAGATACATTAAGAAAGTTCGGATAATGGTTAAATATACAAACTCATAATACTTCATTTTCATTTAGTCCCAAAGGTGCTTTTTCAAAAGGCAACTGGATCTTCAACGAAAAACAAAGTCTAGTTGCCTTTGGAAAAAGCATCTTTGGGACAACTATGATCTGGTGTCAGCTTTGGAATCCTTATTCATCACGGCCACATAGCTTGAGGAAGTGGGAGGGGGGTGATGTTAATTGAGTAGCTCTTAGTAGACAAAATAGAATTCTTTTGTTAGTTCAAGGTCAAAGAGTGTGGCGCAGAAAGAATTAGAACTTACTTTGGGATTGGTTCATGTGATGTGATGATGAGTAAAAAGGGGATGATTTGTAGGTTGGGACATTGTGGGAAGTCCAGGAAACTTTTAGTTTGAAATTCCACAGAATGTGCCAGGTGCTATTCTAATAAAAGTACTTTTGAGATTATGCTTGTCTCAGAGTTACTGATAGGAATGGATGTTCTCTGGAATGCTGACATCTGGATAATTGAGTGTCTCCATAGACATTTTGATTTAGCTTATTGTATGAACTTGGCCATTGTGACTAGCATGCTATCTGAACCCAGCCAATTCTAGATTATTCAATAAATCATGATTATAAAACAGTAGTTTTATGGATGTGGAAATCTATCAATTAAGGGATAGATTTAAATGGATGGTTCAATGTTGTGTGCAAGGAAGATTTTATTTTATGTTAACCATTTGTATGAGAGCCTTGACAAAATTCACAGGAAAATTCATTTTCCAACTTGAAGTCCAACTCCAAGTTGCAGTTGTCCCATTAAATATTTTGTGATTCTTTGTCCTGAGTCAACATGCATATTCTTCTACTGTTAATGATTCAAATTCATATTAATTCTCCAGTTAGGTCCATGCTGGGGGAATCTCACTTAATTCTCCTATGCAACTTCTTATGTTATTTCATTGTATTTTTTAAAGATACCTTACAATATAATTCCTGTGCACCACAGCAGGAAGCGGAAAGCATAAATTCCAGATGCTGCTGGATTACAACTTTAATATACCTCACTCTTCACCTTAGTTGCTGGAATGGCTGGAATTGTAAACCAACATGGCCAGGGTCATTGTGAGGAGAATGGGTGAAGCCACTGTTGTATGTAGAACTGATAAAAACATTTGCTTGAGACTCATGGCCAGTGAGTAGACAATATCAAACTTGATGTACTGATGCTGTAGTGTAAGACCATTGGAAATTGTCTGGAGGTGAGGCAAGATTTCATAGAGGAATTTGTACTTTATATATCTATAGGTAAATTGTGGTCAATTAACTGAAGAGAAATCAAGATAGTGACCTCATTTAGGTGTTCCAACAGAAAGAGAACATATATATCACAGTGTTGAACTGTGGAATCCTTGCTGCTGTCTGAGCCTGGTTGTTAAATTGTAGATGTTTTATTACCCAATCAGGTAACACCAGAGGTGGTATTCAGCAGGTTCTGACCAGTTCTAGAGAACCGGTAGTGGAAATTTTGAGTAGTTTGGAGAACCGGCAAATATCATCTCTGACTGGAGATTTTACAGTATCCTTCCCCTGCCACGCCCACCAAGCCATGCCCACAGAACCAGTAGTAAAATTATTTGAATCCCATCACTGGTTTGTTCTCACGTGCTGTTGTCATTAGGTGAATGGTAGCATTGTTATTTTTATTCCTAAACTACTTGGGTCAAAGCCCAAAGCCAAATTGAGAAGTCCCAAGGGCATTGTTTGCAAGAAGTAGGGAAACGAAGGACCCATTGAATAAGCATGTGTGTATTAGCCCACTATGGCTCCCCAAATAACAAAAGTGTATGGGGAAGAAACTCTGTTGCTACAGCTTCCAAAATCTATGTTGAAGGTGCCTTCCCAAGCTGCTAGCCTCCAAGAACAATTTCCCCTAACCTGTTGCTCTCCAGAAGAACTGGACTACAATTCACACCATTTGCAGCATCTCCATGCTGTTCAATGATGCGATGTGTTCAACATATCTGAAGGGCACCAAGTTAAGGAATACTACAGCAGAACCACCCAGATTAATTAGAGGCCAGTGGTTGCTTTTGCAATCCCTGTATGAACCTGGAGCTGGGAATCTGTCTTGCAGTGTGAGCATATATCAGAGCATGAAAGATTTAAAAGCTTAGCTGCGGTCTCAGGACTATTTTATAAAAACACGAACTGCAGGATTAGTATGTTTCTCTTACCCTTTTTTGCTTTTTTTGTAAAGCTTTGTAATCTTCTCAGCTGGAAGGCCATATTTCTCAGAAATCTATATTTTTTTAAAAAAAAAGAAAAAGAGGGAGATTTATTAAAAGCAAACCCACTGCAGAATCACCGCCCTCAGTTAGATTAGACCAGGGGTGTCCAACCTTGGCAACTTTAAGACTTGTGGACTTCAACACCCAGAATTCCTCAGCCAGCTTTGCTGGCTGAGGAATTCTGGGAGTTGAAGTCCACAAGTCTTAAAGTTGCCAAGATTGGACACCCCTGGATTAGACAATTCATAGCAAGCTACACAATGCACCTTCTTCTTAATACTGGAGAATTTGAAAATTGCACTCGAGGTTCTGCAGAACACAGTGGGACTTACACATGGGAAATGGAGTCCTTTTAGGTGTAGCTGAACTTCCTGCCACTTTTAGTATTTTAATATTTACTATATTAATATTGACTATACTACACTTTCTGCATGGTTTTCTTTTTATGGCTTTCATTTCTACTGATTTCAAACAGGCTTCTCCTCTAAAGAATGAATTAAGATCAACTGTCCAAGAACCGAGCCCCAAAGATCAAAAGTGAATCTCCTTGCAAGGATTTTGCAGATTAATGAAAGCAATTTGGGTGCATACCATGATCTGATGCTGTGCCTAAATTTCCAAATGTTGAAAGTAACAAAGAGTATTCTAAGCCAGGGGTCTCCAACCTTGGCAACTTTAAGACTTGTGGACTTCAACTTCCTGCTGGCTGAGGAACTCTGGGAGTTGAAGTCCACAAGTCTTAAAGTTGCCAAGGTCGGGGACCCCTGTTCTAAGCAATGCTAATACGCTTTCCTTATCCAGTTTCAGCCAACAATGCTTTAGTTTCATGAAACCAGACAGACGGAAATATATGGCACAGCCTTAAAGAGTGCCCAGAAGCTTCACTTGATGTAAGCTGGGGTGGGTGGAAGCTGTTCCAAGCATGGCATTATGATCAGATTGCATTTACAATCCAAAAACATAGATTTTGGTATAAATGCCCCTTGATTTTGGAATACAGCAAGCAAGAATGATCCTTTTCAAATGCTCTGGTTTTAGTTGAATCTGTGGCTGTACAACTAGTGGCCAACTGGGCCAACAGAAGCCGAAAAAAGAATTCCTTCTCTGTGCCATCTGGAAATCTGGGGAGTTTAATTGGATACATTGACAGAAAGCCAAACTGAAAAAGGTTCTAAGCTACAGCATCTTATAAAGAAGATAATGAATCATCAGCCCTCATCCCCAAAAGAGAATCCAAATGAAGCATGAGATAACAGACCTTAGAATTTAGTTGATTCTAAGACAATGTTAGCACGCAAAGCAGTGAGTTATAGCAGTTCCTTCAAATATATTATAACTGAGATAGTTCAAGTTATATGTGCAAAATGGAATCTTTGATCCCCATTTATGACATTAACTAAGACTGAAGAGAAAGATTCTTGTGAGAGATTTTGCTGACAGAAGGGAAACACAAATAATGCCAAACAATAATAGAATTAATGAATGAGGCTCTGAAATATTACCCATTATCTCAACTGTTCCCAAAACTCTCGGTAATAAAATATTTTTATTTAATGCATATAGCAATACCACTGCTATCTTAATATGATTTTTGCAACTCTGTATGTCCAAGCTGAGTTTTTCCTAGAGTTATTAGAACAGAAAATCTCCCAAGTCATGGCTGAACATTCTTTCTCCTTCTGTGTTTTCTATATGTTCTCAGTATTACCAGAATAGTTCATAATGTATAGAAGTTGTAATCTATCCAACTATGTTTATGGAGACCAGGAGCAGATCAGAGGTGATATTCAGCAGGTTCTGACCAGTTCTGAAGAACCATTAGCAGAAAGTTTGATAGTTCAGAGAGCCAGTAAATACCAGGGGTGGGATTCTACCAGTTCATACCTATTTGCTAGAACCGGTTGTTAACATTCTAAGCAGTTCAGAGAATCGGTTGTTAGAAGAAATTACTGGCCTAATCCTGTAAGGAAGGCAGGAAGGAAACATTCTGGTGTTGCTTACAGAAACTGCCTCTCCATTAACTCTTTATTACATCCTTGGCAGGACTAGACTTCCTGTCTCAGGAACTTCTCTGGAGTTTTTCCCCCCTCCTTTGCTGGTACTTTGCTTGTGTGGAGTGACCATTCAAAGTTACAATGGCACTGAAAAAAGTGACTTATGACCATTTTTCACACTTACAACTGTTGCAGCTTCCCCACAGTCATGAGAGGCCAGGCAAGGAGATGCGTGCCTCAATGTGAGTGATATTGAGTTGGCCACACCCAGTCAATAACATGACCACCAAGCCACGCCCACACCTATGCCACGCCCACAGAACCGGTTGTTAAAAATGTTGAATCCCACTCCTGGTAAATACCAGTTCTGACTGGCCCCACCCCCATCTATTCTCTGCCTCCTGAGTCCCAGCTGATTGGCTGGGTCTTTTTTTTTGTTGCTCTGCACAGGAGAACGGAGCTGGAAAGCAGGTTAGTGGGGTGGGGAGGGAATGGGATTTTGCAGTAACGTTCTCCCAGGAGTGGGGAGGGAATGGAGATTTTATAGTATCCTATCCCTGCCACGCCCACCAAGCTATGCCCACAGAACCAGTAGTAAATTTTTTTGAATCCCACCACTGCAGCTGATACATTGCAGCATGTTCTTCACTTAAGAAATATAGATCTCAGAATTGTTACTGCATTCTTAAAGGACACACTCCTCAGTCTTTCTAAATTTAACTAACTTTTCAGGAACATTCTTGAATTGGGAAAACATGTCAAGAGAAGTTGGGGAGGGCAGGGGATACAAACTGTCCTTGGCAACCAGATTTCACAACACATCAAAGCAAACACCTTTCCCCATTGCAGGTCAACTTAATCAAACTGCAGACTTAAAAACTAAAGGATTAAAGGATCAGCTCATCTGCATTTCTGTTCTGAGAAAGTAGCTCTGAGTTAGATCATAATAACCTGGAGAAAGGGACCATGAGTTAATATTTAGAATAGTATAGAATAACAGAGTTGGAAGGGAACTTGGGGCTCTTCTAATCTAACCTGCCTGCCTAGGGGTTTAAGATATGTCTTTTTTCTTATTCCTTCTTGTGCCTCTTGAAAAACTTCCAGAGAGCCTTTTACAGCAACAGTGCAGAAGGCTGCTGGAGAAAGGCAAAGGGAAAGGATTTAACCATAGCAACTGTAACGTGGACTTTTAATTTCCAGAATTCCCCAGCATGGCTTGCTAGGAAATTTTGGGAATGGAAAACCACATATATCAAAGTTGCTAAAGCTGAGACACACTGGGTTAAACTGTTCTTTTCCTTTAGAATGGAACCTCTGATCCCCAGGGTGTTCCCATAAATAACATTCTAAAACCCCAATAGCCACTTGTGATGAATTTCAATGTGTCTAAAACTCAATCTTGTTTTAGTTAGGATCATACATTTCTTCCTTAACATCAGGGGTGGGATTCTACCAGTTTGCACCTATTCTCTAGAACCGGTTGTTAACATTCTAAGCAGTTCGGAGAACCGGTTGTTAGAAGAAATTACTGGCCTAATCCTGTAAGGAAGGCAGGAAGGAAACATTCTGGTGTTGCTTACAGAAACTGCCTCTCCGTTAACCCTTATTACATTCTTGGCAGGACTAGACTTCCTGTCTCAGGAACTTCTCTGGAGTTTTCTTCCCCTCCTTTGCTGGTACTTTGCTTGTGTGGAGTGACCATTCAAAGTTACAATGGCACTGAAAAAAGTGACTTATGACCATTTTTCACACTTACGACTGTTGCAGCATCCCCACAGTCATGAGAGGCCAGGAGAGCAGATGCGTGCCTCGATGTGAGTGATATTGAGTTGGCCACGCCCAGCCAATAACATGACCATCAAGCCATGTCCACCCAGTCACATGACCACCAAACCACACCCACCACCTAAGCCACACCCACAGAACCGGTTGTTAAAAATGTTGAATCTCACCACTGCTTAACACAATTTTTTAAGATAACTCAAATGGCTCTCAATTTTTATAAAAAGAGTTAAATCGCCCGTGGGGAGGCTCGAGAGTGATTGAAATGCAAAAAAAAATCTAATAGGAAAAAAAAGAACAGGATGGATCCCTTTATATAATTATCTTCCCAGGGTGCATAATCAAGTCAAATGTTCCCAGCTCATTAGAGCAATTGATCACCATCCCTGCTTATCCATATTGATGATCCAGATACGCTATTATGGAAATGATATGGTACAAAGATGGTGCACGTCATATGGTGACTTGCCTCATGTGTATAATGAAACTGTTGCAGATATGTACTTTCTAATTGAACAGATAAAAAAGATTGAAGATATACCATTTTCTCAGTCAAGAGCTCACTGTATTTTCCTTATTCCGAGCAGAACAGAAAATTTCTCTTTGCTTATGGACAGCCTGGCAGACTTTACTGATTCCACAATTGGTGGTGAATGACTGTTCTTAATTGAGAAAAATATTTATCTGGATAATGCCAATGAAAAGGAAAACACTGGCATGAAAACTAGTTATGCGAGGTCTTTCCCTGCACAATGCTTCTTTGCACTTAAGGCAGACTATTAAATCTTGTTTGCTCAGTTTGGCTTTTCGGCAATTTGAAATGAATTATCTCTATACTCTCTCGCTTCTTTCTCATTCTTTTTTTCTCTGTTTTTAATTTTATTGTGTATGTATTTTTAAGTGTTTTAATTATGTCTTAATTTTTATTTGTAAGTCAGCTTTGAGATCTACTCTGAGCAAAAAGGCAACTTGGAAATTAATTAAGAGCTCACTTCACACCTTCCCTTATGACTCAGAGTCGAGCCAAGGGAAAATGGGCAATGTTAAGCAATGTTAAGGGACTTTGTCTTGCTCTCCATAAAGATAGAAACAGCAGTGCTGCCCCACAAGCAAAAGCAGGAAGAATTTTGTCATGAAAACAGGAGATAGATAATCCAAAAAAATTCAGTCGGCACCGATAGCAAGCAGATTCAATAGTTATTGTTTTGATCATTATGAGTATGGTGGCAAATTATTGCAAGCCAGGGATCTGAGTCACAGCTTTTAATCATTTACTAGTAATTTTCTAGCTGTCAATGATGATTGATTAGACTTTTAATAACAGCCCTGAGTTATCCAGTTTCCAGAATTGTTTTTCTGAATTATACAATACTTAACAAATATTCTATTTAGTATGTAGGTACACATACATGCTTTACACTGAGTATGTATATGTCCCAAATATAGTTTTCTTATACCTTACTATTAAACAGGTCCCTCTGATTTTGCCATGAAAGTTTTATAAAGAGAAGTGGGACAGAGTAGTTCAGATGGAAATCTATTAGCAATTTCCTGATTAAAATTAAAGGTCTGCCACTCCAAAACTGAAAATTGCCTTTCATTTGATTGTGCATTACATTATTGTTCTTTTCAACTTATTAAAAAGTTTTATCCCCCAAAGTCTGAATGTCTTGTTCAGCAACCCTATTCTTGCTTCTTCTTGCAATACAATGGCTTTTGACAATACAATGGCTACCTGTGAGAGCTCATGTTATAACAATTGGTTTGCAAGGGTGCCATATTATTTTCTTGTCTTTGGAAAAAGCAGAATGAGAAGATTTACTGCCCATTCTTCTGGTGTGCTATTGTAAAAGGAAGAAAAATGATGTGAATAAGAAATATAAGAAAATACTGTCAAGTATGGAAAGCTTGGGTGAGCCTACAGATCAAAATTTGAAAAAATGGGACGAAATGTGCAAACTGTAAACAATAGAGCTTTTGCTTTACGATTATGGTGGGCTGTAGTCCTGGAAACATAGCTAAGCTTAAAGTGCCAAGAACTTCCCAAATCAAGTGGGCATGAATCTATGTATATGAGTATGCAATTTTAAGAAAAAAACATTTTATGTTGCCTTGTCAAAGTATAACATTTCCTTCCCTTATGGGAAGTGAAATATGAAGGTCATTAAAATGGTACTGTTGCAAAGTTTTGTAACATATTTGTAGCACGTTTGTAATTGCATTGCAATGTGACATAAATTTAAAAAGCATACAGATTAAAATATTTCTGCATTCTAAACCCTACCCTTTCTGGCAAGGAAACCCATTTAGCAAGAGGCATCAACTACTAATGTGAGCTATTTACTCTTTCCCACTGCCTTTTATGATGGGTTTTTTTTTTAAATACCCCAGAAGGTACATAAAGTAATGTATAATAAAATATTTTTCATAAGTACAATAAACAAAGTATAATACTTATTTAATTATTGCTAAAATAAACATGTTCATTTAAAAACGACAAGAAATAAACTTGTCCATAAAAAACCCCAACCTAATAAATTGTACAAACAAATAATGTCCTGCAAAACAGACAATATTTGAATCAGAGCAAGGCAGCATCATTCTAGGCAGGGGAGCCATTTAGTTCCATCAATTTCCATCTTTTGTGCCTATTGGGATTCAACATCCCAGAAAGACCTGGCGCATAATATAGAATTGGGGATTTTTCCAGATTTATTGCTCCTCCAGATTTGGTGGGTCTACCAGTTGTATGTCATCTTGGACCAGAGATGTCAAAGGCATGGATGATACTTTTCTCAACTCTCAGACAAACTGTTGCAGTTTGAAAATGACTCAGAACAAAATTGCTTGCAGTGGAATGTACCTATTTTGGGAGAGTTTCACTGGTTTCAAGGCATAATTTATGGTGCTGGTTTTGGCCCATAAAATTCTTTTTAGCATAGGCTCTTGCTACCTGGGATTGTCTTTTCTAGGAGAATCCACCACTCACCATGATTTAGCCAGGAAATTCTGTGGCTAGATAGATTGGGGGGGGGAGGATGGGAAGGCCATTCACATTGGAAGAGTGTTGTGGCCAGTTGGCTGCTGGCCCCTCCCACAGCCGAATCAGAGGAGGAGGAGACGTGGGAATCAGGGTCAGCATCCGGACAACATGGGAGCTCCGAGGGGGAAGAGGGAATAGAGCTGGCAAAGATAGAGATAGAGGCGGAGCCTGGGCCGTCCATCAGCCCTCAGATGGAGAGTCAACAGCCCCCAGGTCTGGAGGTGGTTGATGAAGAAGAGGAGGAACAGCTGGGTCCAGTGCCTGACTTGCGCGGCAGAGGAGAGGAGAGCAGTGGAAACCTATGGGCCAGTCCTTGGGATGGAAGAGCCACTGCTGCTAACGAGGTCCCATCCTAGCTCTGGGGATAAAAGGCAGGGGGTGGAGATGAATAGTTGTGGCAGACAACTATTCATCTTCTGGACGGATGGACTTGTTAGCCTGCGAGATAAACTTTTTGCCGGGGCTGCTGGCATTCCTAATAAAGGAATCTTTTGAGTTCATGTCAGAGGGTTTGTCATGTTTGGGGAGCTGGGTCAGAACAAAGAGCTTTACTCTTGGGGAGTTAATAAAATGTTGATTTTTATCCTTTAAGAAACCAGTTGGGGCTTTTGGTGAGTTTTAATGGAACATAGCAGCCTATTTTAAAATATTGTAATACTTAAAATTGATTTTACGGATGTTTTAAGCTACTGAGGTAAGCCATGTAAGAGTTGCCTGAGTAGGCAGTATACAAATAATCAATCAGTCTACTCTACAGTCTTTCTCAGCAAAACAATTTCATATTTTTATCATCCCTTCTTATCTTATGCCGTCAAGAAGTCTATTTGTTACCATCCACCAACATTTTGGTTCACTCCTTTGGTTTTTGGAGTCAATTTGCCCAAGATATGCAATGCAAGAAGAAAGAGTATGGGAAGTTTTTAAAAAGGAGGTGGCTACCACAGGCTTAATTCACATAAGCTTGGAAATCAAGAAAAAGAGATGAACAACAAAATAATTAGAAAACAAATTGCTTTTGAGACAATATTGAGATTATAAGCAACAATAAATATTAAAAGTTTCAGGTCCAACTTAAGGTATAAGAGATTTATTCCTGTCACAATGTTCACAGTGATATTTTTTAGGGATTAGGGAGAATCTCTTATACCCTTTCCAGAGAATAACTGTTATGGCTGATTTTTTTTCAAGATTCAGAGACAAAAATAAAGAAGTCATTCTAGTCAAAAAACTACTTCAAGTTCCTCTTCAATCTGGAACAGCTTCTTGTAAAGGGATATCAGTAGCCAATAGCCAATAGCTTTTTCTCCATACATGTTCAATTTATGTGTATGATAAATATTTTGCTCATTAATGCCATTTTTCTGTGGAATTTTGATTGGTATTGAATGTTCAATCTTTTTAAAGTTTGTGTAGATATTTAAAACAAAGCTGCAATTACCCCAGAAACCAAATCAATGTTTGTTACTTTAATAAATAAAATGTGAGATGTGGTGACAAATACTTACTGCATCCATAAGCCCTTTTACTGTGGGAGATTTTAACATCAAAGCATCAAACACTTCATCTGCTTCTTTCCTCACATACAGCAGAACTAAAAAATAAAGAACGAAACTTTGGAGAAGATGTTTAACAGTTCCACAAATGAATCATTTCCCTTGGACGGCAATTTCTTTCTTTCCACCAAATGACAATTGAAAAAAGCCAGACACTTCTATTAAAAATAAAACTATCACAGAAAATAAGTATGTCATAGGGCAAGAGGCATATCAGCTGATTTGGAAAGTGTGTCCTTTTTTCCTTTCCAATAAATTGTGTTATGAATAGTAGCATTTCTTAAAACTTTTAGAACTTCCAAATCAATCCATTGTGGTTACATTGGAGTTCTCTATAGAATTGAGTTCTTGAAGCTCTCTATAGAATTCAAAGACTTGCCATCATTGTTATCAAATTTACCAATCAATAACTAAAAGTTCCCTTAACTTGTAAAGCAAATACTCATATCTGATAGAGTGGATTTTCTTTTTGTGATACAAGGGCAAAACAAGTACAGATAGTTTTCTCAACTTGGAACAGTTCATTTGGTGACTTTTTGAGTGACTTATGACCATTTTTCATACTTATAACCGTTACAGCATCCCCATGGCCATGTGATCAAAATTCAGATGCTGGGCAAGTGACTCATTTATGATGGTTGTGGTGTCCCTTGGTCACTTTTTGCAACTTTTGAAAAGCAAAGTCAATGCAGAAGCCAAATTCACTTCACAACCACGTTACTAATTTAACAAATGCAGAGAGATTCATCTAGCAACTGTGGCAAGAAAGGTTGTAAAATGGTACAAAACTCACTTAACAAATGTCTCGCTTAGTAACAGAAATTTTGGGCCCAGTTGTGGTTGTTAGTCTGGACTACCTGTAGTGTTCTGATAAAACAAGGTAAATCACCAAAATAGTTTTTTTCATACATTGTCCAATAGTCCATCATTTCCAATGTGAGGTTTCAACAGTAACATCAGCAAATACAGATGGTCCCCAATTAAAGCCTACTCGTTCAGCAATCAAAGTTACGATAATACAGAACGAAGGGCATTTACAACAGTCCTCGTACTTGCAACCATCACAGCATTCCTACTCTCATGTGATTGTGATTCAGGCCCTTGGCAATTGAAGTTGCAGTGTCCCGTGGTCACATGATTGGCATTTGTGACCTTTCCTGCTTGCTTCCAACAAGCAAAGACAGTGGGGAAGCCAGCAGGAAATCGCGAACGGTGATCACATGATTCAGGGATGCTGAGACCATGCAGGATTAGCCTAACAATGACAATTGGGATTGTTGTCATAAATCAGCATAGTCATGTGATGTTGTATTCTAAAACCACATTGTTTAGTAATGGAGTTCCCAGTCCCAATTACCATCAATAAATGAGGGCTACATGTAATCTACTTATAACATGCATTTATGTGATTTTGTGATATATCCTGGTTTTGAGCCTGGCTATTTCTCAACTATGTCCCAAACTCTAACCCAACAGCCCCAAATGTATTGGGCTATAATTTGCATCTTCTGGGGAACTGCTACTCATTACATCTTGGAGGCATTCAGCTGGAAAAGTGCTGTGTATTTTAGTTGATCATCAGTTGCTGCAAGGAATATAAGACAAAGACAAATATCAGACTAAGAATAAATAAGTACCTTTTTTTGCTCCTTCTTCTTTTATTTGTTTCAACGGTGGTGGAACAAAGTCCTCTTCAACTGTGCGGAATATCCGTTTAGCTAGAATACTACCGCTGAATAGGAAAAAAAACAGATTTGTAAATTAATCAAGATACCATAATTATAGGGCAAAGAATGGCAGAGCCTGGGGGCAGAGTCAAAAGAGGAATCAGCCTAGAATCTTTGTGTAGTTACCAACAGACTAAGTCCAAAGTCCCTTGAACTCTTATCTAGCACCAAATTAGTGTTTTTAGCTTAGTAGATGGACATAAGCATGAGCAATAAATCAATTTAATTGGAACTTCACATGTGATCCTGATCTTTTGCACCTGACAATAATCCACCTCCTTGTTCAGGGAAAGACTGCTGATCAAGATTAATTAAAGATGAAATATCCATCCAATGGAGTCTCCACAAAGCATACTTTTTAAAAAATAAAGAAGTCAGCATCTTTACACGAACTAAATCTGATGCAGCGTTATTTGATGGGATTTAAATCGTTCTTGCTCTAGAATGTACATTGATAGATACCAAGGCAAAAACTGCAGTAAGTACTATGGATATGTTCTGCTCTTTAGACTGCCACTTTAATTCTCTTTATTCTTTGAGAGAAGTCATCAGGCAAGGCCATTTCAGTATAATATTTGCTCAGTTTAAAACATTCAAAAGGTAGCCTTAATTCTGACATATATCATTTGGCTTTCTCTCCAAATTCCAGCTGATTATTTCCATCAAACTTCATGTTATAATTTCATCTAGACCATATTAAAATGCAACAAACATATATCAAATAATCATTTACAGAAAAAAAAAATCAAGATCAGCCTTTACAGTGAAATGATGAAATCATAATTTTTAAGAAAATGCTAGCACTTTTGATAGGCCTGTTCTAAGAACAAGGTACTGTTAATTCCATGGGCATAATACTGATGTATTATCTAACTAAACAGCTTGAGAAGTTATGTAAGACACCAGGCACAAAAAAGTAAACCAGTTTTGTGCTTATATATATTACCAAAACAGGAACTCTGAGGAACTAAGCTTCTGTTTATTTATTTGATATAATTTAGAGGCTTTCTGATTTCAAATTTCTCTGAGCAGCTTATGCTTCAAAAGCAAGAAACACTTAAAATTCAAAAGCAGATCATAGATATCAAAGGGGAAAATATACATAACAGTAAAGAATGACCTACAGAGCTCAGCAAATCTTCACTGCCCCAAGACCTGGAAGAACAGCCAAGTTGTCAAAGACTTCCAGTTTATCATTAGGGTAGGAACCATATGGATTTCTGGAGGGGATCCTGTTCCAGAGAGCAGGCTCTGTGACAAAGGAACTATACTTCCTAAGTCCTAGTACAAGGGTCTTCAAACTTGGCAAGTTTAAGACTTGTGGACTTCAACTCCCAGACTTCCTGAGCTAACGTGACTGGAGGAGGAATTCTGGGAGTTGAAGTCCACAAGTCTTAAAGCTGTCAAGTTTGAAGACCCCTGTCCTAGTACATCACATTGTTTAATTATGGGGATCTGCTTCAGTGTAATTCATAGATATGAAGCAGTTTCTATTCTAAAGGCCAACAAGGCAGGCAGGCAGGTCACAGGAAGGTAAACGGAGCTAAGAGGAAATTCCAACAGTCACTGAGCTCCAGATTATTTACCAGTGATTATTTTCACAAACTATTTCAAAATTGGCAAGCTGAACTGCATTTTCTTAATGTGCATTATTCAAGTTGTTAAAAAAATGTTGTTGTTTTTTTTAAAAAAAGTCTTCTATAATCCGAAATTTGCTCTGCCACGCTTCACTGGTGTGGACATCTTTTAAAGCAGGGGTATCAAACTCAAGGCCCGCAGGGTGCTTAAATCTGGCCAGCAGGGCTGGCCTGGAAATATCAAAGGACCAGCCCTCAATGCCTCTGCCAGCCAAAATGGGCTATGGGGGGGCCCACACGCGGTCCCCCTGCAGCCCATTTTTGGCCTCCACTGCCTCCTGCAGAACTCTGCTGGCCAAAAAACAGGCCGCGCAGGGGCCTCGTGAGGCCCATTTTTGGACGGCAAAGTGCTGCAGGAGGCATCCGTCCCGTCCCCCCTTCCTCCCCGCCCCCCCCCCCCCCGGACTGTGGAGAATTACAATGCTGATCTGGCCCTCAAAGAAATCCAGTTTGACACCCCTTTTTAAAAGCATATCTAGCCAAAATTATATCTCTGGAGGTGCAGATTACGACACTAAATATCAGATCATTTCTATCATAAGCAATAAAAGTTGCTACAACAAAAGAAACAACATTGTTGGGGGGAAAATAAAGAGTTTTGATTTGCACTAGGATCTTCCCATTTATGTTTATATTTTGTATAAGAGGATTGGATTCTTAGTTACAAAACGTATACTAAAGGTCATACCCTTCTCGTTCATCATCGTTGTTATAATAAACCTGCAAAAAAGAACAACAAACAGATTTATAGTTATGATGTTTCCAGGAAATCAAGGAAAAAGCCAAGCTATGAGTTTGCTCTTTTTCACATAAATCAGTTGCTCATTTTGTTCAGTTTTGGCATGACCCGTTCATTTTTAGAGGACTTGTGAGAAAAAATCTCTTGACAAGTCAGGTCTGTTCATTCTTTAGAATTCTTCCATTCTCTGTTTGAATTAAACAAAGTCAGGTAAACACAGTTGGTTTGTCTGCCAAAGGTGTAAACTGCGGTGAAAAAAATGGATAGGATGAAATTCTTCTTTCTCTCTCTGTATATCCTTCCATCCTGAAAGAGTCAACAGCCTCTAACTGTGTGGAGAAGATGTGGCTGTGCTTTAATGTGAAAAAATGGCTTAAAAAGAATACTTTCCAGCCATATTTGATTTGATTTTAGGGATCAAATTTGACATTTTAATATGAGAAGGAAGACGCAGCTTTTTTCCTGGGACAGAGGTCAGATTTGGCCTTTGAGGAGCAAAGAACAAAGGATGCACTAAAATTGGTGATTTCTGCTAATTCTCTTGAGAAGAGTTTGCAACAGTTTCCCCTTGAATTCCTCTATAAAAAGAGAGTCATGATCAAAGGAACCTTAAAATCGCAGCTTTCCTTCTTCAATCTTGGAAAATACTTTTTAGCTGGCATGAAATGTTAACACCTATTAAATAATAGTACATTAAGAGAAATATTTAACTTTTGCCCTTTCTGTTTTAAATGTGGTTACACTGAGCAAAAGAGCTAGGTTTTGATAGCTCGACTTTTACCTCTGTTCAGTTAAATTTAATTTCAGTTTTGATCCATTCCTCAACGACATAGGGTGTGAGTGGCATACAGAAAGTTCTCTGTTCAATCTTTGGCAACCAGATGAAATAATGACATGAATGAGTCTTTGCAGATTCAAGATTGCCACCACCATTCCCTAGTACGTTCTACTGGCTTAGTTGGACAAATAATCTGATCTAGAAGAAGACAACTTCAACTATGTCAGTGGACTCCCAAAAGTTATTTACACAGAATGGATCATGCTCATTTATTTTTGGGAACTAGAGGATGGACCAAACCGTTATGAGGCAGGAGAGACCTTTACATTGCCTGATTTCTTACCTGTCCAGCTCTTTGGAGATTGCCAAAATGAACATCTGGTATGAAAAGAACAGGTTGGGACTCCAAATCAGCCATAGTTTTAAAATAGGTGATGTCACTCTTCTTTTGGAGAGGCACAGCAGTCAATTTCCCTTCTGCTGTTCACGGAAAATGGAAGAGGTGGTTACTGACTGGAAACACATTATTAGCACCAGACTGAGCACTGTACAGACCAGAGAAAATGTTTGCGTCCTCACCATTAGGGCAAGTTGCCTGAGAAACTTGGCCTTTCGATTTCTTTCTGTTTTGCTTTCTTTCTTCATCCCGGATTTTCCTTTCGGCTCCCTGTGACATGAAACACAGACTTTAAAGTAAGTGGCTGTTTTGTAGAGGAGGCATTTATCACCAGGAATGGACTTATTCTTATTTGTTGTGATTATTGTTGGGTTTGGATCAGAGGTGGTGTTCAGCAGGTTCTGACCAGTTCTGGAGAACTGATAGCAGAAATTCTGAGTAGTTCGGAGAACCGGAAAATACCACCTCTGACTGGAGCTTTTACCGTATCCTTCTTCTGCCACACCCACCAAGCTGTGGCCACAGAACTGGTAGTGAAAAAATTAGAATCCCACCAGTGGTTTGAACATTGTTCTGATTACCAATTTATTATGATATTTCTGGTTTTCTTTGTGTTCCGAGGGGTCCGCAGAATATGGTTTTAAAAAAAATCAACATGATAGCAAAGCTCCGCCCATATTTTATGCATGTTATACATAAGAAAGGCTGAGCGCCAATTGAACTCTGGTGCTGGAGAAGACTCCTGTGAGTCCCTTGGACTGCAAGGCAATCAAACCGGTCAGTCCTACAGGAGATCAACCCTGACTGCTCTTTAGAAGGCCAGATCCTGAAGATGAAACTCAAATACTTTGGCCACCTAATGAGAAGGAAGGACTCACTGGAGAAAGAGCCTAATGTTGGGAACAATACTGAGGGCAATAAAAGAAGGGGACAACAGAGAATGAGGTGGCTGGATGGAGTCACTGAAGCAGTAGGTATGAGCTTAAATGGACTCCAGAAGATGGTAGAGGACAGGAAGGCCTGGAGGAATGTTGTCCATGGGGTCACGATGGATCGGACAAGATTGCAACTAACAACAACAATACATTCAATGCACATAAAATATAGCCAAAGCTTCCATTATGCTCTCATGGCCATCATGTTGACTTTTTAACTACACCTTCAAGCACTCCTGTTTGTGATACAAGAGAATGTTCATAACTCAGGATTGAAACGAGGGGTCCTTGGTACTCTCGGAGTTTGGCTGTTTTCTTGCAGACGTTACATTATCCAAACTAGGTAAGATCATCAGCACTGTTTGTGTTGATATGGTGTACTGCCTGGGGTCCTTTTGGGATTGGAGATGGTTATAAATATTGTAAAACAAACAAGTAATCAAATAGAATTAAGAAATATTGAAAGAAATATATGTTCTAGCTAAATTGTAGGAATCTTTGAGGCACTGGTTTGTTCAGATTATTTTATTTGTACTTTGACTGTGAAATGTGGATAGCAACATAGTGCTTAAGGTGTTGCATGAAAATAGTGGCGTCCATTTCTAAGCCCATTCTCAACTTTGGAAGCTCAGTAGATAATATTTCTCACCCCTACCTACCCAAGCATGGTTAATGAGGAAGGCAGTGCTTGAAACTTTGTTACTTCTAAATAATAATATGAATACGAATCCTTGACAATAAATACTAATTTGAGATGTGAAGGAAAAGACAGTGATGTTCTCGATAAAAAGCATAAAATCCACCTTGATGAATCATACCAAGGTCACTCTAATCTAATGTCTTATTTTCCACAATGACTCTCCAAATGCCTGTGGAAAGTCTACAGTCCCAAGGGAAATAACTTTTCTTGGCCATTGGTCTCTAACTGGCACCTAAATGTTCTATTTGGATTTATATTTTGGTCCTTCATTTTTTATCCCTTTTCATGTAAGCTGAGTTTTAAAAAAGAATTAATTTGGTTTATTTTAACATTTCTTTGTACTTTTCTGCTCTGATGTACCTAGGAGATGAATTTCCTACTTAAAAGCAAGGGGCCGTTACAATCAAACCAGAAAGATACAACTTTGGGGAATAAAATTTTGTTCCGTAGTTATCTCTATTTGTTTATTTTTTATCTTGATTTAGGCACTGTCCAAGATACTCCAACTGACTCTGGGCAGTTCACAAATAATAAAATAAAACCAATTATCATGAGACAACATGAGAGAATGTGAATCCCCAGAGACTCCATTCTTACCACAGCATCTACTGTACTTCAAGATTTGGCATCCAGTCCTTAATTCCAACATATATACAGATACACAGATACACACATACTGGTCCCACCTTTGATTGTAGAGGCAGAAGACTAATGAATACCATTTATCAGAATGAACAAAGCCATAATACAGAATCTGCAAGCAACTGTAATCATCTTTGCAAGCAGACATTTAAAAGATGCAGATGTGTACTGTGGGATTTCAAAATCTAGCTTTGTTGACATAGTTGGCTTCAAAGCAAATTGGAATCATTGCTCTACAATATTAAATATACTGTTAAGGAACTCATTACCACTGTGCACATATTAGAAAGCAGAGTACCTCTGTGGAAGCTTCTAAATTATAGCATAGTGTAACATGTTTGGTATCTTTGGCATCTCAAAATCTCCACTTGAAAAAAATACGTCCTATGGGGCCAGATATAGACATTCCTAGAGGGAGGGGTCGGGTGAGAAAAAGAACAGAATGAGCAAATATAGCTCATAGGGCAGCTTCTACTTGTTGTTGTGGGTCAGTACAGTGCTTTTGATTTGTAATTCAGTCTGGCCTTGTTGTATGCTTTTACTTTTGCATCTTTTATGCCTGTTTTGGTCCAGGAAGGTGGCAATGTCTGGCTGTTCTTGTCTGGGATCTGAAGATGAAGCTGTCAAACTTGGTTATATTGGCATAAGAGCCATTCCCTGGAAATTCTAAGGCTGCAGCCTGGACTGAAAAACCAGCACAGTCATCACCAATAATAATTCCAAAAGAAGCAATGGCAAACCATCTCACTACGGTCACCTAGAAGTTGAACTGGGCCCAAAGGAGATCTACCTTTCCTTTAAAAAAATCCCCTGCCATTCTGAAATTATTTTTCAAAGATGACAAGCAGATAGAAAATACATTTGATAAATAAACAAAATTATGGAAAGAAATAATATATAGTGTTCTCATTCCTTAGGTCAAACCACAACCACTTTGAGGTGTAATGAAATAGAGCAGCCTATAAATCAAATAATAAATGAAGAGCCAGTACAATCCACTAATACTTACATTCCTAATAGCAGACTTGCTCATTGTATTGGATTACGACTTCTCCAAGCCTGCTGATTAGTGTTTGTGGCTATTATATCTAATGTGTTTGGAAAGGCCAGATTGTGAATGGATGCCATAATAAGCCATGAATATCATGTTCCCTTTAGGGCAACTATAATAACCAAAGAGAGCCTGTTTGATCTTCTGGTTAAGACACCAGGTTAGAGAAGCAAGAGACTGTGAGTCCTTGAGTTGTTTTAGGAACAAAACTAGCTGGCTGACCTTGGTCCATGACTTGGAGTTCCCTCCCCAAATAAAATTATTTTAAGAAATGTGCTTAAAATGATATCTTGTAACTTGAAGGAATTCTAGCTTGGGATCCCTGATTCAGAAAATAAAATTGGTAGCATTTAGTAGGTTTCATAATAAGATCAGCAACTGAAATATCTTCTCAACAGTACTTTACTCCTTTGAAAATAAACAACTGAGAAGGAAGCTATTGAGCAAAGTTAAAATTGTCTGCCTCTCTTCTTTCTTTCTTTCTTTCTTTCTTTCTTTCTTTCTTTCTTTCTTTCTTTCTTTCTTTCTTTCTTTCTTTCTTTCTTTCTTTCTTTCTTTCTTTCTCTCTCTCTCTCTCTCTCTTTCTTTCTTTCTTTCTTTCCTTCCTTCCTTCCATTTCTCTTTTTTCTCTCTCCCATCTATCTATCTATCTATCTATCTATCTATCTATCTATCTATCTATCATCTATCTATCTATCTATCTATCTATCTATCTATCTATCTATCTATCTATCTATCTATCCATCCTCTATCTGATTTTTCCCACTGTTTCTCCTTTCCTACTCTAAATCGATCTCTTGCAGAGGTTTATTTGCAGGCATGAAAGTAAGCACAAGGCATATGGCTTTTGGGGTTCAGCACTGCCTCAACTTCCTCACTGCTGCCATAAAAATCATACTTGGGAGGTCACCCAAAGGCAAAGCAGGGTTTATCCATTTATCCATTGCTAACACAGTGGAATTAAACAACCCTTTTGTTCATCACCACAAGCAGTAATAATACTGAAAATCTTAGATGCTCTTCATTCTATCATGCTGTTCTCACTGCTTGAGACCAGAATCTCTATTAAATGGCTATAGGATTCTGGCTTGCATCCCACTGCCTTGCACTTAGCTGTGCTATTTAAATTGGTGCCAAGCTGGTGAATTAACAAGCTACCTTCCCCGTAGCATTTTATCCTCCCTTAGCATGAGATGGGGAAGGGGGATTTATAAGCCAATGGGAAGCCATGTGAAGGCTTTAGAAATGTATGATGCCAAGGCAGGGGGTTGCAGGGCAATTCTACATAGCACCGTGCTGTGTTTGAAATGGCTAAACTTTTAATGTTAATATTTCACAAGCTTGGTTAGTCATCTGAATATTTTCTTAAACCATTCCAGACCCTAGCATGGTAATATTGAACATATTTTTTGCAAAAATATATGTACACCTACTGATCACAGTGGGGAGTTTTTGCCTTTCTTTTTTGCTTTCTTTTTAATGCATAGAAGTGGATATACATTAAGTGTGCCAAAATCAAATTTATCTGGAAAGGGGCTGACATAAGGGCATCATATACCCTATTTTAGAGAAAACTTCTCTATTCCAAGGGCTGATCACCTGAAAACTAAGACGAGGACTCTCATAAGAAATAAGATGAGGTGTTTTGACGTTCCCCTTCCAGACATAGCAAATGGACCATAGATAGGCCAACCTTGTAAGTCTTTCCTACTATGATAAAATGCCTAATCTAATGCCTTAGGATCACAATTTCTGGAATGTTTAGTAACATAATCAACAGCTGTGCTAAGTATTGTAAAAGTAGAAAAAGATGGATAGATACAGATATTTTAGGTAGAGATAGATGATGGATGGATGGATGGATGGTTGATTAGATAAATACAGAGACAGGTAGACTGACAGACACATAGACTGACTGACTGACAGTGCTTGTGTGTGTGCA